TCCTTTCTTCGAAGCTTCGTATCGTACGTATACTTCAGATACAGTACGTACGTATCACTTCCAGTACGTACATATCCATTGCAGGCCTATGTAGGATATGTACTAAAACCAGTGGTGACACACCGGCAGGCCCAGCAGCTGCTGTGCAGCATCCTGTGTTTTTATCACGCATTCAAAATTGTACTGAGGCCTACTGTGGCCTGCCTAAAAACTTGTCTCCAGCACGCTAGAACTGTTCTTTTCATTCAATAAAAAAACTTGGTTAAAAGCAACCAACCATGGGAATAACTCCATTTTAGGCACTTCCACTCAACCTCAGACACTGTACTTGGTATCACTGGATAGCTCTCCTTGACTTACAATTGAACAAGCCTTGAACTGTAGAAAACAAGCAGCTGTAGCCCATTTTATTGCGTGTTCAGTGTACCTTTTTTTACGGCAACTGCTTCCAATGTTGGCAACAAACAGCATCTTCCTGCAGGACAATCTTGGCTCTCATCTGTCCACCTTGGTTGGCTTGAAGGTTGCCATTAGACCTAGTAATCATACTAAACGGACTCTTTTTAGATCTATTCCCAGGCCTCCCTACCAGCCCAAGTATGGGCCAGTTGAATGCAAGATCTGTGATCTTGTCTCAGCAGTATCTAGAGAGGCCCGGCCTTATTGGACTACCAGTGATCTTGAAGCAGCCAGGAAGATCTATCAAAGGGGTTGATGCTACCTTTGATCACTGTGGATACAGCAGTTTGGATGGAAACTATGATGATTAGGCAACAGCAGCAGCAGCAGCAACAACAACAACAACAACAGCACTGCGTTGGTCTCCAGCAAGCGTGACAGATTCAGTGAGCAGGTGCAATGGACTGGAGGAATCCCCTGCAGCATGGCTTGCAAGTGTGGTGACTCGTCCTGGGCCTGTAAAGATTGAATCCTACTGGAGAGGCTTGGATTCCAGTCCCCCAGAGCAGCTCGCCTGCAGCTTCTTCTGTGGATGCTCAATCTATTTGGATGCATTGTCTCTTCCACACAAGCAACAGTCAAATGCAAAAGGGTCTATTGTCTAAGCTGTACATGAAAGGCAAGGGTCTCTTCATCATCTGCTGCTTGAGGCCTGATATCACTGGTATATGGAGTGCAATGAGGATGAATGGTTCTAGCAACAACAATAGGTGTGTACTCATCCTTGCTAGTACTACCACTACTATTGGCAATATCAATGGCATCCTGTACAGCAGTAGCTCTGAGACATGAGGCAAGAGGATCATAGCTTGCTGGCAATCTAGTAACGCCCCTCCTCTCATCACCAAGATCATTTCTGTGGCCTCTGTTGCTGTAATTTTGATTGCTGTAATGCCTTGCATTCCTGCTATCACTAGCTGTAAGAGACACTAGACAAGGATCTTGAAAAGACACTGGTCCCCTCTGCTGAGCCGCAACTGGTCCCTTCTGCTGAGCAGGTCCTTGCTGAGCGGGTCCTTACTGAGCCGGTCCTTGCTGAGCTGGTCTTTGCTGAGCCTTTCCCCTCCACTAAGCAGGTGGGGGGGGAAAGGAGTTGATTGCCAACATTGGAAGCAAGTTGTTGTAAAAAAGAAGCTGCACTAATCAGACCAAAACAATACTTCTACTGGGTCCTTTGCTACAGTTCAAGGCCTGTTCAATCGGCAATCAAGGAGAGCTATCCAGTGATACCAAGAAGTACAGTGTCTAAGAGTGAGTAGAAGTGCCTAAAATAGACCGATTCCCATGGTCGGTTGCTTTGAACCAAGTTTTTTGAATGAATGAAAAGAACAGTTTAGCAATTGCCAGCAGGCTGGAGGCAGTTTTAGGTCACAACAATGGGCCTCAGTAGGATTTTGAAAGCGGAATCAAAACCCTTCTATTATGAGCAAAATGGACAGTGTACCCCCTTGAGCCACGATTTTCTAAAGCATTTTCTACACAGCTTTTGTACTACAGACCTCCAAATAGATCAATTTTGCTCCTCGCTGAGCAGCTGGATCAGCAGCTACTGGGCCTGCCGGCATGCTGCCAACAGGTATAGTACAAATCCTACTTAGGCGTACATCCCTAACATACGGAATGCTAACACTAACATTCGGAACATTACTAGCACTAGCATTTGGAACATTAACAATAACATTCTGAACCCCTTAGTTACTAATGAAAGTTCAATTGTTATTTTACTATGTGTTGCAGATCAATTGAAAATACGTTTCACAGGGTGTTCCCAATGTTAATTTAACATTCCAAATGTTAGCAGCATAGGCTATGTAGAAATGGTGATTACTGTGGTTTTTGCTTCAATTTAACATCCTGAATGCTCTGCTTAACAGTCTGAAAGTTAGCAGGGAAGGAATCCTCTTCTTCTTTTTTTTGATCCCTTCTTCCTTTTTTAGGCATGTGCAAGAAGACTGAAGAACGAAGGAGAATGTGGATACTATGGGTTGCGGATCAATTGAAACTACGTTTCACAGGGCGTTCCCAATGTTAATTGAACTTTCCAAATGTTAGCTGCATAGGCTATGTAGAAATGAGTACTGTGGTTTTTGCTTCAATTTAACGTCCTGAATGCTCTGCTTGACAGTCTGCCTGAAAGTTACTAACAGGGGAGGCGTCCTCTTCTTCCTCTTTTTAGACTGCTGAATGAAGAATGTGGATAATACTAGGATCTACGTAGGCCTACAAGAATGCAAAATTCAAAATTCAACATTCCGTACATTAAATAAACATTTGGAACTTTATTTCTAACATTCGGAACGCCCTGTGAAACATAGTTTCAATTGATCAGCAACGAGTAGTAATACTAGGATCTAAGTAGGCCTAAGTGAAAAATTTAACATTCTGTACGTTGAATAAACATTTCGAACTTTATTTCTAACATTCGGAATGTTAAGTTAAGATTGGGAACGCCCTATGAAACGTAATTTCAATTGATCCGCAACGTGTACTATTAAGCGAAAACCGCACGTGAATACAAGTAAAAAGTGAGCTACGTACTCGCCGATTACGAGGAATACGAAGTATTCGTACTACGAGTACACGAAGTCATACCCACAAGGTTGATTGCTACAACACGGACCGCCCACAAATAGTTGTTGCAATCCCCCCCTCCCCGTAGCCATCCGCAAGACGCGAGCGAGGAACTGCCCCATAGGGAATTTGGTTTCCACCACGAGAGAACCAGCAAAGCAAGCAAGCAAGCAAAGCAACACAGGCGGGCGGGCACACCGAGGCATTCTTCGATGAGTCTGCGGTCCCCTCCCGGGGAGTTGCAGGGGGAACCACGGGGTGGCGACCGGCGCGTCTCATCTTGGGCACTCTTCGTCCTATCAATGCTCTTTTTGGGCGTCTCGATGAGCGTGAGCAACATTCGGCACGCAGCCCGAGCGCTGCCCGGGACACCGGCCGAGGGCTTTCGGAACGGGATGCACGAGTCCTTTCTCGGCGACGGGTCCTCTAAGGGTTCCCCGGCAGAAGCACGGCGGGCGAGCCCCCGTGATGGCCCTCCCGCAAGGGGCGCTCCAAAGGTGTTCCGGGCCTCCCCCCCCTCGCTTCCGCCGCTCTCGGAGGTTGTCCCCAACAGCAACAACACGGTGATCAGCATCGTCTCGATGGGAAAACTCGTCGACACCTACCTCGTGGAGCGGTGCATCCGCTCCGTCCGTAGGCGCGGCTTGTTCACCGGGACGATCCTAGTCTTTACGGACGCCATCGGCTACGAGCACTACCGGAAGAGCGTCCTTCCCTGGGACAGCCGGACCCTCATCCTCCGGGGCCGCGACGAGGACATGGCCCCGAGGACAGGGGAGGAGCCGGGCGCACCACGCATCAAGTACCTCCAGGAGAAGATGATCTTCAAGCGCTTCAAGACGCATCACTCCAAGTACCTCGAGCAAGAGTTGTCGCGTTCGCCGGTTGTGGGAACCGGGGGATCGGAGGTCCGGTACGTCGTGTACATCGACGCCGACAACGTGGTTGGGGCCCCGCTGGCCGGCTTCTTCGAGGGGTACGCCAATGCCGTGGCCACCGAGTACCAGCGGGCGCTGGAGGAACACCGCGCGTGGAGGCAAAGCGCCAATACCAACGACACACGCACAGCTACCCCCCGCGACGACGAGGACGACGACTTTGGCTTTGTGGGCATGTTTCGGGACAAGCACCTGCGGACTAAAATGCACAGGTCCGTTTTGCCCGTGATCGGCGCTCCGCTTTGGGAACGACCGGGTTTTGTTGGTTCGTTTGTGCTAGTTTGGTGTTTGTTCGTTTTTGTTCGTGTTCTTTTGTGTTTTGCTTCCTTCTTCTGCGCACCGATCGAGACTCCTACCCAATCGAATCCTCATCACAAATTTTGTTCTCGCCAACACTCGCAATTGTGTGTTGCAGCGGGATCATTGTGTACGACCTCGCGTTCGAGGATCGGTGCGTGAACGGGTGGAGGAACGAGATGGACACGTTCCTCCACGCCAGCGACCAAACGATCTTCCTCCGGGTCCTGGAGAACTACGACCGCTACCGGTGCAGGGCCTTTGCGCTCCCGCACGAGTACATGGCCTTCGCCAGCAAGCGGGTCATGACCGGCGCCATGGAGGCCCGGCAAAACAAGAGGACGAAACCCCTGACCCTCCCCACCTTTGTCCACATCACCAACTTTCGGGTGAGGAGGGTGAACAACGCCACGCTCCACGACGAGTTCGTCCGGTACGTCCTCGACTTGCAGGACGGCGAGGAGCTGATGGACGGCGTCCGCTGGGAGGACGTGGTTCCCTCCGATGCGAGACGGGCGGGCGCCACCAAGCTATAAAGGACGGGCCTTTGAAAGTTCTCGAGCCAACAAGCAATGACAAGCAGTAGGACGTTTGCTGCCGCCGCCATGACGCATCGCGAGTATTTCCACTACCGCCAATATCTAGTAGTACTACTGGTTGTTATTGATCAGAATCACGAAGAACTAGAAATCTCCGTCGCGGTTGGTGCTTCATGGCAGCAGTATGAACCAAGGGTACTAGTCAATCTTTTTATTCTATTACTAGTACTAGTATTGGAAGAAATTGATGAAGGTCTGGTGCCAATGAACGATGAACCCATAGTTCCATTCCGCAAAGCAGTTGTGATGAAGCCGGCATACTACTACTACGTAGCATTGATAATGCGTTCTGTTGTCGACAATACCATCACTACTAGTTGTGAGCAAGCACCGTAAAAGTGGTGAGAGAAACCACTCGTACGGTACTCGTACTACCGGTACGTACGTACTCTTACGAGTTCATGGTTTTGATGTCAACTCCCGGGACCGGGACCCAATAGTGGCTCTAGATCGGCGTGAAAAACTAGGGGGGCTAGAATAGTCGCAATTGGACGAATCGAATCTTTCACCACAGCCAAGCGATCTTTGCCTCACCGTCCCCATAATAAAAATAATGCTCTTTTTGTCCCGAAAATTGATGGAACATTCATCTCTCACCGCTCCAAAAAGTTTCGGTTGCGAACATTACACGGAATACCGACCTAGCCTTCCTTCGATCACCGTTGCCTTATTCTTTGCCACTCAACCCAACTCGATAAAGAACAATCCAGTAAAGCATTCCAGCTTGCATTCACCTAGTAGATTTGTACCACCTCCCGCTGAGAGATGTTTTCTGTCGGTCGCTTCGATCCCAGGAAGGAGGATGCTCGGAATAGCACCGGCAGCAGAAAGAAAAAATCCCGAACTAAGGATGACCAGGCCGAATCGAAAGACAGGAAGAAGAGGAAACGAAAAAAAAAAACTTCGCCCGGTGCCGAACGCGACGGTACAGAGGGATCCTCTTCGTCTCCAGTGGGATCGGAAACTCCTCCCTTGCCAGCCGCAGCAGCAACGGCGAAAGGAACCGAGAGCGAAAAACAACCACAACGACAAAAATCCACGGACGCCATGGTCGAAGAGAAAGGAACAAAGCCGGAGGCCGCCTTTCACGTCATCGCTCCCGAAACGGACGGGGCGCTCTCTTCCCAGAAAAATCTGGCCGGGAAAATCACGGCCGAAGCCTTCGATGATCTAGACCTGACCGACGACGCCTGGCTCGCCACAACAAAGGAACAGAGAAACGACAACCACAAGAACGATGGCGGCGATTCGGCGTCCCCGCCGGGCTTTGATCCGGGTGACGAAATCGAACGGGCCCTGGAGATGACGCGCCTGCCGATTGTCGAAGCGGCGCGCCGGTGGGGCATGGCCGACTTTTTGGTTCGAAACCTGGTATCAAACGGACACGAACACTTCTTTCCCATACAAGCGCTGGTGATTCCGGATGTCATCGTTGCGGAGCGCCACATGATGTCCCTTCGGGTCAGGGACGTCTGCTGCGCGGCTCCCACCGGGAGCGGGAAAACGCTGGCATTTGTCCTGCCCGTCCTAAACGCCCTCGCTGCCCGCAGGGTCCGTAGACTCCGGGCGCTGGTGATATTGCCGAGCCGTGACTTGGCGCAGCAGGTGTACGAAGTTTTTGATGCCTATAGCAAAGGATCGAAGAACGATCTCCGAATCGGATTGGCAATCGGCCAAACCGACTTCAAGGCGGAACAAAAGAAACTGATTTTTGGGGACAGCGACGAAAACGAAGATGGAAACAATTGGACTCGATTGCAAAATTCGTTGGATCCGGGAAACCTAGAATTAGCTCTTGATGCAATGAGGGAACAACTAGAAAATGATAACGACATAGGCGACGAAACAAAAGATTGGAAAAGCAACAATGCAAAATCCAAAATTCCAGCAGGGGGAATCAGCGCAGTAGATGTTTTGGTTTGCACTCCGGGCAGATTGGTAGATCATCTAGACAACACCCCAGGCTTTACGCTGCAGCACTTGCGATGGTTAGTTATCGATGAGGCCGATCGGTTGCTTAGCCAATCCTATCACGGTTGGATTCAGCGCGTTTTGGATTGTGTACACGCACCTCCAGCTCCAACAAGCCGAACTGCCGAGTACAAAACCGACGAAGGCACAATCTCCATCGACCCAGTCACGCATCGGCGATCAGAGAACTCTTCGTTTGTCACTGGAATCGGACCAGAAAAGGACAACCAATCATCTTCCGATGTAGGAGTACATTCCAACATCTGCCAACGAATTCAACTTCGAAAGCTTCTATATTCTGCTACGCTCACGAAAGATCCGCAGAAGCTCTCTGCGCTTCGTCTCATCAATCCAAAATATTTCAACGCCCACGATCTGAAACGGCGACAAAATGCAATGTTGGTCCACAAAGACAGTAGCGCCAGCAATCTATATCGAATGCCGGAGCAATTGAAAGAATGCACCGTCGAGTGTACCGCCGAACAAAAACCTATTGTTCTCTTGGCGCTCATACTGGAGAGGTTGAAAGAATATCGCGAATTAGAGGAACTGGCTGCTTCTTCATCGTCAGGAAAACCAAAAAAGAACACCATCGTTGTTTTTGCCTCCAGCCTCGAGTCGACACATCGATTGACGCGATTGCTCCAGTTGCTGTGGCAAGCCGCGGACTACGGAACATCGCCCGTCGAATTTTCATCGGCACTCAACCAGCACCAGCGATCCAAGCTGATGAGACGATGCAACGACCCCACCGATCGTTCCGTATCGGTCTTGGTTTGCTCCGATGGGATGTCCCGAGGCATGGATCTAGCGTCCTGTCGCGCTGTCATCCACTACGATGTACCTGGAATGGCCAAGACCTATGTGCACCGGTGCGGCCGAACCGCTCGTGCGGGCCAGGACGGGACGGCCATCGCTCTGCTCAAGGGAAAGGGCCAGGCGGGGCAATTTGCGAGACTTCGTCGCTTGATTGCACTGCCAGAGAGGGTCACAAAGGCTTCGGTCAAGACATCGTTGGTCAGAGACGCTATTCCTTTGTACAAGCACTGCGTGTCCMGTCTGCGAGATGTTTTGGCGGCAGAGGATCGCAACGAACTGAAGCCCACGGATCCGGACTTGACCCGTTGGCTGCCTGGCAACGAACAAGATTCCGGGGACAGCGAGTCGGACAGCGATGATAGCGTAACTAGCGCAAGTAGCATGTGATATAGACGCAGTGACATGTGCTTCGTGCTATGGTGATTATAGCGATGAAACTGTATTCATAGATGCATTCATTTCTAAAGCGGGTCACATGGCACCATTATTTGCTATTGCGACGGAACAATTACTTAGATATTTGCTATTGCGATGGAGCAATTACTTAGATTAAAGATCTTATTGGAATCGTTAAATTTGTATTCTATCGTAGTGCAATGATTGCTCGGTTCATGGTTGACTAACCAAATTCAAATTCATGTGTCAAAAATCCACTTGTTCCTTTCATCCAACCCTATTCATTCTTTTGCTCGTATGGCATGCTCAGCATTCTTCGTCAAAGGCAATCTTCAATGGCAAGCGCATGTACTCCTCGGAATCAAAGTCCCGGACATCATTGCCACTACCGCCACAGCACTTCTCCAGTTGTACTGCCGCCTTTTCCGGTCCCCCCACATCCTCTACAACTTGATCCATTCCTTTCTTTCCAACAACCCAGCAAACCTTTTGTTTGGTAACGGGATCTACAAACGGCTTAATCATAGCATAAAAAGATCGAAAAACAAATGGCGGGTTGCAAATATACGTTCGGTACATGCGCTCACAAAAGTGTCGTTGTAAAATATCGAGGGTTCGTCTGGTGGTCGACATGGGTGGCGTCTTGGACATGTGAAATCCTTCATAGTCGATGACGAGACATATTTTCCCGTGTCCGTTCTTTTCGCTACATCGGACGGCCTTTTCGATCTGAAAGACCAAGTGACGCATGTTGTTGTCTTCGTGCATAGTATTCTCTCTCCCGGGTCGCATATACATTATCGCTCGGCCATCCTTGTCGTAGCCCCTGACGTAAATCTTTCCTGTTTCATTCTCTTTTCGGAGAATGGCAGCAAAATCCACCTCGTCATCCTGGTCGTCGATTTCAACGCTATTGCTACTATAAGTTCCTTTCTTTTTAGCTTCGTCATCCTCCAATGACGAAACGAGATTGTCGACTCGGAATTCTTTCCTCCATTTTAAAGTAAACTTGATTGCATCAATTGCTTTGGCAATGTCCCCCTGAAAGATTGTTCAGCGGCGCAACAGTTAGCAAAACAGTACGGATGATAGTTTGCTAACGAATGCTACGAGGTAGTAATTCACGAACAAAGCAACAAAAGAATAAAAATCGACCTACCTTTTCGGCACGATAATGCCGCAGCGGCATGTATGCATCGGGCATACGGCTCTGTTCGTCGGCTGTCAATGCTTGATGGACGAGTTTCGCCCCTTCTTGTTCGGAAGCATTGTGATAGGATAAATCGGTGGTCGTATCGTACGAGGCTTCGAAGTTGGACTTGTCTGTTTCTTCTCCCTCTAGTTCACTTTCACTGGAATTGCTGTCGGTGCTGCCAGTTCTTTGTTTTGTCAGCGTCTTTGTGTTTTCCTTTGCGGTTCCATATTTCGTGTTATTCTTGTTCACATGCAACCAATCCGAAGTGAAGCCACGAAAGTTGCGGACGACGAATGGCTTTGCCGAGGAATCGTTACTCGAAGTGTCCTCTTTCTTTGACTCTGTTGGACTCGGTGCGATTTCGCCTGTGCCGATCGATCGGACCGATAACGAAGAAGTGCACACCCTCATCTATTCTGTCTCTTGTTTTTGCCTTGCTGGGTTCTATCTTTGCAGTCAATATTGTTGTTGAATATTGAATTTGTACAGTATCAAAGTATTCTCACCACGTTTATTTTCTCAATGCGATTCATGCTAGACGAATGACTGACTATGGAATGATTACGGGACTTTGGCTTGGACGTCACGCTGCTGTGTGATAGCTGTACGATACGTACTACTCGTACGAATACGAACTTTCCTTGTACTCGTTGCGTTGTCATAGCATAGAAGTAAAAAATCAGTACCGGTACGGGTACCTTGTACCTTACTGTACGGTACTGTATTCGAAGTACAGAACTTCCGGTGAGAACAAAAGAAAATAAAAACTTTAAACATGGAAACACGCCTTGTTAAAAAAATAATGAAGGTACTACTACTAGTACTGGTACTTGTACTAGGGTACGAAAACAGGCTTTCAAGCGTAGCTTGAAGAACACTAAGTGGTTTTTCAAACATACCGGTACCACATCACAGTACTGTACCAGCAGTATGAAATAAAAATATTTTGTACACACGGGAAATGTGTGCAGAATGTGCAGTGCAAAACTTTTTCCACAATTTTTTACATCGTCATAAAAAAATCCCAACCCTCCTCAAATCACMACAGCACCATAAAAAATTAATCATCCATTAAGAAAAACAACCAAAATAATACATCGACCATGGTGAAATCAACCAAGAACAACTCATCCTCTACCAAACAACATCGACAACATTCACACCGGTCCTGTTTCCGCCTTACAAACAGCTTTGATCCAGCCCAGTTGAAAACAGTCTTGATGACCATGAATCTCAGAAACCCAGTAAGAAAGCTAAACAAGACCTGTGGTCAAATGGATCAAAGAAAGGACGAGTGGCATCTGTGATTCCGATTAATGGAAGGATTAAT